GGGAATGGAGACATGCTTCGTTGGATTACCAGGTTTCAGCTCTCCGTCAACAGAATGCAAGAAGCATGGAATGACACTTATATCCCGATAACGGACCCGAACAATGCCGAAGTCAGAGCCTTCGTCACTGGACTTCCAGCAGAAGAGCAGGCAGAACTCACGCCTGAAGAGGCGATGGAAAGAGCCAACACACGGCTCAAGGATCAGCATGCTCGGACGATTCCGATCACGCCAAATCTCGTGGCTCTCATCTTTGTCTCGCTGAGTGACCTTACGCAGGATCAGAGACAGGTGTTGATGGCACATCGGAACCGGGTACTCGCTGACTACAATACCGCCGAATTGCGTGAAGTCTACCTCGAGATCTTTTGCACGACGAAGACTACCGTCGACAATCCTCTCCTCGCTCCTTCCGGACACGGTGGCCGCAAGACATTCCTGGTGATCGACGAAGGATACATGGATGGTTCTGAAGGCTACTGGGTCGAGGACGAGGAAGATGGAGCAGAAGGGTTCCTTGAAGCAGATGAGGACGCCTTCCGGATCTACGACGAGGAGAACTACTCATGGTTCCAGCGGCGCTTCCAAGGCCGCAGAATGAAGCGCGGATTCAAGGGCCGCCGAAAGGGAAAAGGCAAAGGTGGCAAGGGATCCTCAGGAAAGCGCTTCTTCAAGAGGAAGAAAGGCAAGTCGAATCTTGCTGACGACAACCCCGACGCGTGGCAGACGACAGATGGACAATGGCAGGACAGTCAATGGCAAGATCAGTACTGGGATGACTGGTCCTGGTATGAGTCCGAGGAGTCCTATGCCGCAAAGGGAAAAGGAAAGAAAGGAAAGAAGGGAAAAGGCAAGGGCAAGTTCAGCAAGGATGGAAAGGATGGGAAGTCCGGAAAGGATGGACAATCCCAGCTTGCCGAAGCCTCTTCTAGCAGTGTTACTGCTGCTACGACCTTCTACGCCGAGTACATCAATCCCTTGAACTTTTCTTTCATGGCCACCGAGGACAAGAAGGAGGAAGCCTTCATCTCTCAGCCCTTAACGCCGACCGCGATGGTGTTGGATTTGGGATGCACGAGAGCTATGGCTTCCCGGGTGGCCGCGACGTTCTGCGATGACAACCCGAACTGTGGCATTTGGTACACCATAGCTGAGACCACATCTCAGTTTACCTTTGCCAACTCCGAGTCGACCAAGTGCAAGCAGAAGCTGATCATTTGCATGTACGACCGAGAGTACGCAGTTCAGTCTACCGAATTTGACATTGTGGAGCAGGGACACGTTCCGATCCTGATGTCCTTGCCCCAGATGCGCAACTTGAGGTTCCAGTTTGAGCTCCATCCGGATAAGGCCTTGCTAAGCAGTCCTATACTGGGCGTTTGGGATGTGAAGCTTAAGGTTGCACCTAGCTCACACCTGGTACTTGATCTCCTTGACCTCAGTCGCTTGATGTGGAATGTACGTTTCGACAAACACAAGAAGTCTAGCTTCCTCACCTACTTCTGCCATTACGAGTATGGATTCCATCAAAAGACGCTGGGAGGCTCTTCACTGGAAGAGGAACCCAAGGATTTCGTCTTTGCGACGGACGATGAGTGGGTGATTGACGAAGCCAGCATGGAGTTGATTCGTCTCCACAAGAAGGTAAGGAGAACAAGGTACGAGCCCAAAGAAGGAGCAGTGCCAATTCCTTTGGAGTACCTGGACAACAAGCGCAAGACGATCACGGAGTTCTCCAAGGGAAAGAACGTTGCTCATGAAGATGACTGGCGTTCTCCTGAGCCTCCTACTTCAAAGGTTACCGAGCCTTGGAAGGGTAGGACAGTCTTTAGGATTTTGCCTGGAGGTATTGAGAATAGAACCTCAGTACCGGCTAAGACAAGACATCCCACCCGTCGAAAGGTTGGATCTCCTGATGAAGAACTTAGCAAAGGTAAGCCTGAAGACAGCTCAGAGAGAGCAGGAGCATCCGGAATCTCTCCACCAGGAAAGGTACCGGTGAGAAGGAGAGTTCGCACTAAGGGACGCGGTCCTCAGGGACCGGCACCCAAGGTCGCTGGTGCTCCCCTTGCTCCTGAAGATGATCCGGATCTTCAAGAGTGCGAACCTTCCTTGCCGGAAGAACCAGAGATCTCGTCGCTAGAACCTAGGAGGATTGCGCTTCCATTGCCTGGTCAGGAGGTCTCAAGGGCCTCTCCCCAGTATCAGCGTATGTTGGAAAAGCTGAACAACGATGTCGAGCTTTACAAGTTGCATGTGAAGCACTACCACATGAGCTCGGCACAGTTTCGGCGCAGGACCAGCATGCTTGGGCTGCCAGGTGAGATCTACGACAAGTACGACAGAATTGTCAAGGGCTGTCGTGTTTGCAGCACTTCCGTGCCTACGCCTCCGCGAGCCAGAATCGCAGGTTTACGAGCATCATCATTCGGTGATCTAATCTTCGTGGATCACGAAGAGATCAAGTTTGGTACTAAGGCATATCTTGCCTTGGTTATCATTGATGGTGCCTCGAATCTCCTGTGGGTTACGGCTCTCACTAGTTTGGAAGCGCCTGAGACTCTGGGTGCATTCCGTCAATGGACAGAGGAGAACAACTGCATTCCTAAGGGAATCGTAGGTGATCAAGCATTTTTCGCACCACCGTTCATGTCCTATTACAAGTTCCATGGCATCACTCCGTATCCTTGTGGACCTCGGACTCCTTGGCCTAATCGTGCCGAGACCGCTGTGCGTTTGTTCAAGCGTACTTGGTCCATCATGGCTAAGGCTTTGGCCGATGAAGGGTATGCAGAGAGGGTTACCGTCCGTCAGGCAGTGAAGAAGGTGGCCTGGGCAAGGAATTGCCAACTGACCGTTTCAGGCTATTCTCCGTTGGAGATAGCCACAGGACGGCGGCCACCAGATCTGTTTGATGTTGAGACGAGTACGCCCGAACAGCTCTCTGCTAATCCACCAGAGGAGGATCGAACCACTCTCGATCTTCAGAGGATTGCCATGCGTGCTCATCAAGAAGCCCGGCAGTCGATTGACCTTCGGAAGGGTCTGGCAAGACGTGTCATGCCATCAGATGGTCCTTACCAGAAGGGAGATCGTGTGTTTGTCTGGCATAAGGATGAATCGAAGAAGAAGTCCGAAGGTGTTTGGGTCAGAGGAACTGTCATATCTCAAGAAGGCGCCATGGTGTTGGTTGAAGTTCATCGTGCGGTATTGCGAGTCAATCAGTCGAAGGTTCGCCGTGATGGTGATCCATGGCATGATGTGGCAATTCCTCTTAAGCCTGCCGAACCGCGAAGCTCTTCTGCGGAAGAGGTACGCGATGATGCTCCGAGACGCTCCTCTCAGGAGGAGGCACTCGAGAGAATCGGAGATAGGCTTTTGGAACAAGTAAGTTCAAGGTTCTGTTATGAACATGAGATTTGCTTCCATTCTCTCACTTCTGGCAAGAGCGATTTCGTTGAGATCACGCCACATCTTACGGGTCTTACTGCGTGTACCTGTCATTCTGGATTGGTGGCGAGTGAACCTGTTTTGTTTGGTGAATGGTCTGTCAAGAAGATTCATTCTTCGATTGAGTCAGCATGGCAGGTGATCTTAGCGGCAGAGCCGAATCACATTATCATTCATCCTGTCATTCCTGCACAGTGGACAAAGAAAGCAGCCAATGCCTTCTGGCATTTCTGCGCTGAAGTGAGTCGCTGGCAGGATGACAGAGGTGATGGGTACTTCGTGACCATCATGTACCCTGCTCATTCTGGGTTTTGGCTCTCTCAGAGCAGCCGCTCTTTGAAGTGGAGAAGCAGCATGACCTTTTGCACTTTCAAGAACAAGGGGGAACAGCAACATGGGGAGATATCCTTTCTCACCAACACGCCTGATGGATCTTTGGATCGATTGGAATCGCTTGCAGAAGGCTATTCGTCGGAAGAGATCCTGGATCCTCGCTTTGCTGTTCTTTTATCTCAATGTTTGTTAAGCAACCACAGGTCCGATCTTCGGCAAGGTTTCTTGTTTGAGGATATCTTTGAAGACTTTGAAGATGGAACTCTTTGTGCTTTATGTCTGCGATCAGAACGTAACTCAGAGGCATTACCGGTTCTTCCCTCATCTGAAGAGTATTCAATGCTCTCCAACAATTCAAGAGGGAGGTTGCCGAAGCCTTTGCAGTTTGTCGCACCGCAGCGTTTCGTGACATCGTCATTGGTTCAAGCCCTGTCTTACATTGACAACCTTCTACCGGGCACGGAGTTGGAGATACACACTACCACATCTGCCGAGGCAGCTGCCTTGAGACCGTTGATCAAGAATGTGCGAGTGTTGACTCTACCGTACCTGGAGTTTGAGTTTTGCAATGTTTACAGGGGGACACGGGGTAAGACTCTTCCATTGATTCATCGACACCCTGACGCTGTCGTGTTGCTGTGGTGTAAAGGTGATCATGATCATGTCTTCTTTGTGACAATGGCACAATTGCTTCCATGTCTTCAGGATATGAATCTTACTGATTGGTCCATGGTTGTTTTCTGGAATGAGTCTAAGGGCTCTGGTTCCAAGAAGGGGCCTGATGTCGGGCTGGATTTCACGGACCAGCCTGCTCCATCGCCCTCTGTGCCGCCGCAACCACCGGCTGCACCAGGCGATGACGTGGACTATCCAGGTTATGATGATCCACAGGTTGACATGCCTGTGGATGACGAGGATATGCCTTTTCAGAATTCGGCTCCCGAACCTGATCTGAACGATGATCCATAGAGCTGGGTTCTGGTGGTAATCCTCCTCCGCATCCTCCAGGAAGCGGTGCTCAGGTGCCGGTACCTGGTGGTGACGAAGATGCAGACCTGGATATGCCTTATGATCCGGATGAAGATGGTGGACATCCGCCAGGAGGCGGTCCGCAGGGACCGGGACCTGGCTATGGGCCGTCTCCGGACGAGCCAGCCCTTCCTATGGAGTACCACGAAGAGTCGCCTCCTTCTGGAGGTCCTCCTGACGCTCCTGGGGCTCCGCCGCCGTACGCCAATCCGGAGTGCTTAGTCCGCCTATGCCGTGGCCGGCACCACCTTCACAGATTGTTCCTGTTCCTATTCCTCCTCATCCGCACTTTCCGGTTCCACAGAGTTTGAGACCGCCATCGCCAAGGAATGTGTCACAGACCCGTGCTCGTGGCCGACATCCGGAAGATACGTCCAAGGCGAAGTCGCGGACCGTTGTGGGACCTCCGGTTGTGCTGTTGC